CAAGATAGATCCATAAGCTACTAGTTATTATGATAAAAGTAAATCTTGCTTTTACGCTCGCTTTCCAACTGTAATTTTAAATCAGAGCCTATCTACGTTCATGGAAAGGGATTTCAAACTATCAACATACCGCAAAATTGCCAACTAACTCACAGTTGGCTAAAACTTGCAAATGAGATTTTGAGTTTTACACGCAAGAAATTAATTTATCAATAAAATTTCTGGCTATTTAATCGCCCATAGGTCACGGTTATGCAAATAAGTTCCTCATCATTAGCCGTATACTCTGAGTTGGAGAAAAATAATCGAGCAAGTCTGGGAAAAGGGGAGGGGGGGAGGAGAAAAAAATAGATTGTAACTTTTATCCACCAGTCCATGCATCGAGAGTGGAGTCAAAATACTACATACAAGTAGACGATGATGGTCAGTTATGCAGAACTCAACAGATGCAATGATCCTATCGGGTTTTTTTTTTCTACTGTGACCACATAGCAAATAATTTGATTGGTAAGCGAAAACAAGATGAAAATATTGTTAATCTTATCCACCTATATTAGATCATGTTGTACCACTTACTCAATAACGATATGAGGTTTGCAAGCAAAGGTTAACTTGTACAAGCAATCCACGTTCATTTTATAGGTATAAGCCGAATCGAATCGTCCGCCATCACATTTAAAGTAAATGTGAGAATTATCTTCCCTTGAAACACTCAAGTTAATGGAATAGACTTTAGATTTCATCTTGAATGGCAATTTCAATCGCTTGAAGTGGAGGGAAAAAAAAGAAAGAAAAATACTAAGAAATGACCGGCCAAAGAGATGGATCTCAACCACTAATTAAACAGGACTATCCAATTTGTAGGCAGGAATGAAAGAAACCAATCCAATCGATGTATGCAATGGTTGCTCAATCAAGACGTTTTAAGCAACAAGTATTTTGAAGGATAGGCAATGTTGGACGATATTGAATATGCACTGGATGAACTTGGACGTGGTAATATCGGATGGGTATAGAATAATAAAATCAATGCAAGGATAGGAGGAAAAAATTGAAAAGAATTCAATCCATTAATTAACCTAATGAATGCATGATAACAATATCGGCAATAGTCATGATTGACTCATGAATAATTAAAACAAATACTAGCGCTACTACGTTAAGTAACCCGCTGGCAAGAAGACGAAGGCGTTAACTTATTCCTTGGTTAGAATTTCCAACCATCTTGACAATCAATCCAATTCATCTTTTAATCTGGAATGAGAGAGCAAGAGACAGACATGCATAGATTGATTTTTTTATTTTTTTGAACATGGACAGTCATGGAGCAATCTCTCGCCTTATCCTTGACCCAAGTTGATGATGAATATGGAATTGCAGATTGAGATTGAGCAATGGAGAATAGCCTTCATGGATATTGTCAAGAGAGTCAAAATGGAAGATAGAATTAAATTGATTGCATTCTAACTCTATTGCTGATGTTCAATGGAATGGTAAACCAACCTTTTCATCTCACTGTTCTCTCAAGACAGTTGGATAATGCCAAGGAAATTGCCATTTAATTATTTGTACTTGTATACTAAGCAAATAATAACCATGGAAGAATAGAGATGGATATTTTTTTCACGTACAAATAATTTTTTCCCCCACTGATGAAAACAAGTCATACAGTAAATAGGATCCAATCCTTTTCTATTCATTATCATCATCATCATATATTCTTCTTCTTTTAGCTTCCATCATGGGGATACAATCACTACAGCAGGAGGATAATTCAACTTGGAAATGACAATGGAGTCCATGGGATTGAGCAAGATGGGAGGAGTTGTACTCCAATTGGATAGGACTTGATAGGTCATGACTATTTTATACTTTATTGACACAACTGCAATAGGCTATAATATTGTGGTATTATTTTAATTAAAATGGATAATAGATTATCCATCCATTCTTATTGGTAATAACATAACTTTATTATCGTCAAGGAATTGAAATAGCGATGGCATCCATTTCCTTTCTACGTTCATTTGGATTACAGGTCAGGACTATTTTATACCTTATTGACATAACTGCAATAGGCTATTCTATTATTGGTATTATCTAAATTGAAATAGATAGTTCATTATATATATATTATTATTGATCGTATACTTATTGATAATAACATAAGTTTATCATTGCTAAGGCGTATATTTCCTTCGTATGTCGATTTTGATTTCAATCTTATCCATACTTATCCAATGAGAATGATTCTATCTTGTCGTCCTGGTAAAAACAAAATAACTGCAAGTCTGCAACTGGCGTTCGATGATTCTTAAGGCAAGATCAATCAAAGCCTATGCAGGCTATCCATCAATGCTGCCATAGACACTTTAATGACCTGTAATGGAGAAACAAAATTGAAATATTCTCATTCTCTCTTGACATGGACGACACTTTAAGAATAGAAATTCAAATTCAGCCACCATTGCATAGCATACTTAGAATCCAAATTTCTTGGAAATACTTTTATTGCCAGTAATACTGTAAAGAGACGTGATCAAAATATCTTTGTTCTATCTTGATATGGATAATTTCTTAAAACTGGAAATTAAACTTGAGGCACCATTGAATAGAATGCTAAGCATTCCAATCTCTTATAGCAAAAAAATCGACTGAGAAACATAAATCTATTCAAAATTAAACTAACCTAACCATGAGTGTAATATACCTCACCAAAACCTATTGTTTGCTTGCAAATGTTATTAACTTTTCATACGTTTCCATGTTAGGAAGAAAGGATCAAATTAAATAATTATCTACTCTAGTTTGACCTAAATCGTTCAAAAATCATTTGAAATAGATCATCCATGTGCATAATAATATTCACATAGTCAAAACCTGCTGTGCATCAAATCTTTTGCATTAATATGATGCATCCTTGATATCATTTCTTACGATAGCAATGAACGATTAGCTTGCTGTATTCTAGTCTCTTTGTTATTAATTACAGTTTGTTATAATCTCTATATCGTTTCTCTCAGTAGAAAGGATTATTAACCTACCGTGCTATAACTTTTGAGTCTAGAAGTCTTTCTATCCATATTGGACATCATTTCTTATAGTAGAAATGAACGATTAAACCTGTTGGTCTAAAGTTTTATTATTATTAATTATTACTATACGTCTTGTAAACCATTTTTTTTTAGTACAAGGAATGATTAGTCTGGTATTAGTTTTTCTATCAATATTTTATCAGCATCATTTCCTATCATAGAAAGAAACGATCAGTTTGAATTAAAAAATAGCCATATCCAACGTTCTTCAATCTCTTTTTTACATGGCTTGAAAATTAGCTATAACTTGTCCTATTTACTATAATAAGAATTGTAACCTGATTGGGTTATTTTATCAAGTCCCCTACCATCATTTTATATCATTTGATGCGTACACCTTTAGAAGCCTATTTCTAAGTAGTTTAGAGCTGGATCTCGGAGTACTGTCTATAGTAGCACTAGTTTTACACCTTTATTTGTTTAAATTTAGCTCTAATATACCGTTGCACAGTATCAGTCTCTCCACTATAGTTTTATGGACAGCAGTTTAAAAAATTATGATTGCTAATTCTGCCCGATCTGATTCAAAATAAACTTGAATTATTGTCAGCCCAGTATTCTAATTAATTTAATCATAAAGTTGGTCATAAAATGAAAATTATACCATCATCAATTTAAACGAACAATTTCGAAATGAAAAATTACAAGGTATGCTAAATATCGAATATTATCATTATCTAGGTGTAGCTTGATATCAGAATAATTTATCAACATGATGGGTGAGTAATTCCAAATTTGTGTGATAATAATTTAAAGAAAAAAATAAATAATATAACCCCTGTTTATCTTGTTTACTTACTTATCCTACTGTACACAAGCTATTACTTACTTTTCCAGTAATTGATAAACAAAGTAGATACAGTGTATACATTGTACCTGTCAATATGCTATTTAGTAAATCGTTACAAATAAATATGGATAGCTCATTTTAATCAGGCAGCATTTCGTAGAATATAGTATTAATGACCCTTATATGTATATCAGAATAATATCTACAACAGAAACGATAAAAATAATGAAGTCAAATGATATTATTGCACACTACGATCTCATAAAATGTTAATTGTGTAAGTTTATCGTTGAAATGATAAGCAAAAAATAAAAAAAACGGTGTAAATACCACTGAACTCAAGCTAGTTAAAAAACATGAACAACACCTTCTCTTAAAATAAGAGTAATTTCAGTCCTATTAGTCTTTCAAATAAAGTAAACGATCTACCTCAACCTCGGAAGCATGATACTGTGCGACCTTCACTGTTTTATAAAATAATCAAAGGATAAATGAGAGACAATCCCCCTTAAAATTAGCATGGTCATTCTTGAATTTGCGTGAAAAAATTACGAGCAAGTTCTTGGAGCAGATATCAATTCTAGTTTTTCAATATTGATTTTTAATTAAGTGATTGTATTCATATTCTAAATTCAATTGGTTTGAGATTAATCAAGTTTAGATTATATTAAAATACCTTTGAAATATTGCACGTACAATTGCAAACAGTGCATGGTACGTAAACAAAATGTCAAGGGTATGTCAAGGTCAGTTGTAACATGATAGAATATTATTCCTTCGTAGTCATCACCATAATTATAAGAATAAATTATGGTTTATGTAGATACATAACGTCCAATTACATTATTTTCAACACCATATTGAATAACAAACTTGTTCATATTCATATTCATAATATTGTTGCGCTGTTATAAGCAGAGATCCTAATCCGACTTTATATTCTATCCGTTGATTTGAATAAACACACTAAAATCGAAATATCAACACAAGACAATTGCTAGCCTCGTTGAATATCTGGAATTAAAAGCCTAAATAAAGTAATCCACTGGAACAGTCGACATAATAGCAAAATAAGAGTTTGATCTAGCTAAAGCAATAAACGAATGTTTCAAGGATCAAGATTTGACATCAAAAAATTTTTTTTGCATGTAACGACTCTGGTTCGTTGCTAGTCCAAATTTCTGATAGAATGGCATATAATCTTCGGTGCATTCTAGTGTCAACTTGTAGCAATCCACCTTTTCACTTAGAAGAACCATGCTGCCAACTAAACTGTTTATTATTAAACATTGCCGATATAGTATATAAATAAATTAGTAATAATAGAAATTATATCAAATGAAACTAAAGCTTTGATATGTCTACTTGTCCATTACAATAGCTACACAGCATAAAATAAGAGAGGATGGTACTTACATTTTTGCCAACTGTTTACCACGATACGCATCATCGACTATAACATCTTCTATTCTACCTCTCTGCAAAAAATTTGTTACAGTATTAAAATCACGACACTATATCGCAACAAGTCAATGCTATTCTGTAAACAATAATAATAATACTAACATATGTTGCACAATGAATAAATTTTTGCTCTATAACCAGAGTAGTATTTCCTATAATCTTGCCGGTAGAAGTATCCTCAATCACTGTCACAAAATGGCTGTTTTGCCAAGATTTCATGTGATCAAAGCGTTCTAATTGCAAGAATAAATGATCAAAGATTAGAAGATAGAAAGTTGTATTATTTCCTTCTAATAAAACAAAAATGATCAAAATTACTCTACGTGAGCGGCTATAATTTAGACATACTGTAAAACATTTCTTTTGTTACATCACCAACTTCAGTTAAATTGGATAAAAGTTGTAAATAACCTACGGTACAAAAAATTAAATTATTAGAAGTAAACGAAATCTTTCATTTATTTTCTACACTCAGGTTAAAATCTACATCTTGAAATGATTCAATTTATTCAACCTTTATCAAAGTCATCTCTCTGCAGGGGCCGTACAACCAACGAAGGAGAAGGATTTAAAGGTGAAGATCCTGAAGGTAATTTTAAATTGAGTGTACCGAAATCCAAGTCAGCTAATAGCTTGCAATCATATAAAGCAGTCGTCGATGACTACGATGAGAAAAGGATAAAGGAATAATATAAGTACAAGCAATGTAATCTCGAGGTAAGCGATTGTTTGGTATTTTACTTTTATTACGTGTATTTCGGTGTTGTCCATTACTGATGTTAAGAATTGACATTACTTTACTTAACAATCCCAGCTCTTTTTAGCAATTATACCAAGATAATATTCTAGAATGTTTTACTTTCATGATACTATGATATATTGTATATCTCCCTCGATAGAATACTCTAGTTTCTAATACAGTTAAAACCTATCTATACGACTTATTTATACATCGTTTACGCGTATAGTAACATAGGATAGATCAACGAATACTTCTTGAAGTTGTTGCAATAATCTCGATGGTATTCTACTTGATGAACTGAATCACGGTTATTTATCTACTTGTAGAAACGGTAAATTAAGTCTGTCGTTTTCATTATATATCTTTTTAGATGTTTGTATTCATCAATGGCTACTCTAGTAAAACAATATCATCCTATAATCAACTTTGCCTAAATACCGTCCATAAGCAAGTCTTTTGAGGTTTCAATACATCATTACTATATTACAATAACAACAATCTGAAATGATTAATCTACCATATCAGATGCACGTGCATATACTCATACATCAAATGCAGTAACGAGTGTTTACACCAACAATTGCTCCAATAGTTTTGGTTTAAACTGTCACGCTAAGCTCTATGCCTATATTTTAAATTAAATTAGCAGGCAAAAAGGCTTATGGAATTAGTTGCACCGATGTGGATTAATAGTCACTATCACACTGTCAACCAATTTGTAGACGGAACATGGTGGTGGTAACAATATCAATAATGAAGAGAGTAGGATTGACGTCAGCTATATTTTTACTTTTGACTCTATCCATATCATTATTGAATTGATTCATTAATCCTGCAAACTATAGTTGAAAAGTTTACATCAGAGGAATCATTTAGTATTAATTTGTAAAGGATTACAAATTAAAACTATCCATCTATGTACTGTATATAATGTCATAAAGAAAGAATAGAGTTAACATTCTTAATATGAAATTGGACGCATGAAGGAAATCAATTGATTGAATGGATGGCCTAAATAGACAGATTTCAACTATGCCAACCTAATGGTCTGGTATACTCGCTTGATGACGTGGCATACTACTGTATATCCAAAATGTTAATAATAATAAAATTATCAACACTAATTAGCAAGCTGTATTCATTGCATAATATCTGATCTAATTCTATACAGCTTTACTTTATTCTTAATTACAAACAATAAATTTAAAAGACGATCCATTTTACAGCCTACACGAATATGGACTTGGTTAGAAAATTAGTTTCGATAAATAAAAGTTATCGTCCATAATTAATTGTATAAAATTGGACTGCCGTATAGTATTTCCAGTTCTATCTATTGGATAGTGGGCTAATGGCTAATCTAATTCTATGCTATACAATGTTGCTCTAATTTTTAATTCCAGTATATTCATTCAATTGAAAAGATTGTCCATTTCACAACCTACAGTATACCAATAAGGACGTCGTTGGAAAATTATTTTAGATCAATGAGAGTCATCGTCTATCATTTTATACGAGTAAAATTGACTACAGTAGAGTATTTTAAAATATTGTACATCGCTACTAAAGTAGGAGATTCAATGGCTCAAATCGAACCTCTTTAGGGTATGATGTAATTTACTTGGAATGATAGCTCGTAGTAGCGTTTTTGTCATTGGATTATCCTATGCGTAGAATGATGATTGCATTATCAACTTTTACGTATACAGTAAATGCATATGAAATTAATACGAATGACAACATGTGGAGATCTGGATTGCGATCTCTTGAGTCTATCATAACATTGTTACAGCAACTATATTAGAAAATGTTGGGAGTGAAAAATCCAATCCGAGTAATCACGCCTTTAGCATCAGTTTACAACCTTTTGGGGATCTATTACAACAGTGCTAGAGCTAGCTGGTAGAAGGTCGTTGATTGAAATTAATGAAAGCAATCATGTCTACAATGTACACGGTATGATTGAGATTGTGCACGTCAGTAAGCGAATTGAATGATGCATCTACAGTAGAAGACCTTTCTGATCGATCGTAATAGTCCTAAAGCTGTTGGAAAGTCGTTTAGTAATGAGTAGAAGCAATAACCTCTACATTGTATGCAGGGTAGTCAAGACTATACATATGCAAGCGAATTCTTTCATTATTTCTACCCTATTTAAAGCAAGCCCTTCATAGGTCGTAAGGGTAGAAGAATATCGTCCGATCTCCTTTCTACTAAAACATAGCACAATATTGCTGATAATATTTGACAGAAACTGATTGGAAAGATCGAATCCATAACATGTACAAAGCCCATCATCGGCCAGTTGGAATCGATGTAATCGTACAACCTACAGTATCTATGGTCTTACAGAGCTTCATAAGATCGTTACTATGTCAAAAATGAATTGCATCCTGGTTAAAATTTGATCAAGCATAAGTAAAAATTGTCCCTTTGATTTTCAACAAAGTTCGATGAACATGTTATGTTTGATCTACCGAGAAGTGGCCTTTACTTTTTTCAGACTGTACCTCGATAACCCTATCGTTACCCTGATCCCTATTGATTTCAAGTAGTAACTGTCCAATTGCAGTAAAATCAATTCTTCATCATCCCCAGTTCAACTAGACTATAAGACCATTAGATTGTAGGCTGATGGCAATGTCGACTATCGTGCTTCCATTCGATGATCGACTGTTTAGTATCATCATAGTACACTAACTGTCTATCCACTGTTATCCATCAATCCACTCACTAACCAAGAAGAGAATAAGCCCCCATTGATTTTATTGCAGTAAAATCAATTCTTCATCATCCCCAGTTCAACTACTGTAGACTAAAATCATTTGATTGAAAGCTGATCGCAATGTAGACTATCGTGCTTCCATTCGATGATCGACTGTTTAGTATCATCATAGTACACTAACTGTCTATCCACTGTTATCCATCAATCCACTCACTAGCCAACAAGAGCCTACTGATCCTATTACACCAAAATCAATTCTTCATCATCCCTAGTTCAACTACTGCAGCTGTAGTCTGTACTAAAATCATTTGATTGAAAGCTGATCGCAATGTAGACTATCGTGCTTCCATTCGATGATCGACTGTTTAGTATCATCATACTACACTAACTGTCTATCCACTGTTATCCATCAATCCACTCACTAGCCAACAAGAGCCTACTGATCCTATTACACTAAAATCAATTCTTCATCATCCCTAGTTCAACTACTACAGCTGTAGACTAAAATCATTTGATTGAAAGCTGATCGCAATGTAGACTATCGTGCTTCCATTTGATGATCGTCTCTCGATCGACAGTTTAGTATCATCATACTACACCAACTGTCTATCCACTCACTAACCAAGAAGAAAATAAACCCTCTGATCGTTGTTGTCTACCTATTTTAGTCTTGTACAAGCAATCAATTATAACTAGGGATGCTTACCTCGTCCGCCATGATGGCCAACTTGAATCAATTGCGTAATCAAATGGGGGAGGGGAGGGGATGATCGATTGACTCTTAGCCTATGGTCGTCGACGTGTCGTTATTACCGCGATACACAACCGATTCTCCATACATAGACATAGATCACAGCGACATGAGCAGAACACACTACTATCTATCCAAGCCATCGCACACACAGCTAGAATATTCTGCTAGTCTATGCCTATCAGCGACTGCAGCAAGGACTCCTGCAAGGAATAGAGTAATTCCTGATGATTATCCACGTCGAAAATCCATTCTTAAAGCATTGATTGGCAAATGTTGGACCTATTGACCAGCAAGGACAATCTACTCAACGCTCTATAGTGTAGTATACTATACTGCGGCAAGTTCATGACATAGTATCGTGAGTGCAGCTGTAGGCCCGCCAGCTGGCGCAACCAACTTGCCACAGCTGCAGCTGTGGAGATGGACAATCTGCTTCCAATGGCCTGCCAAATAGTCCGATCAACGGCATCGATACTTTGCGTTAGGAAAATAGATGACAGCCCCTCTCTTTCTTCACTACTGTAGTGTAGCATGGACTGCTCGAGGAAGGCCAAACCTTCTTCAAGTGGTCCATGATTGTAGGCATTGATAACCGAACCTTTCTCAGGTGCATACTCGGAATGGCCATTCTGAGCTAGACCAAATTGCTGAAACCTGTCAAGAATAAACCTTGATGCTATTTGCTGATGTTCAAATTGATATCCTTGTAGCGCAGCATGGACTACCAGAAGAAGACTTCTAGCTCTTCTTCTAGTAGTCCATGATTGCTGGCATTGATTTGGAGTGGAACACAAGTTGTGTACGTCATGTTGCTCATCTCTAAGGGCATGTCCAATTGTCCATTCTGAGCTAGACAAAATTACTGAAAGCTGTCGATAGTAAGCTTTGATCGAATTTGCCGATATTCATATTGATATCCTTGTAGTGCAGCAGGGACTACTACAAGAAGACCATGTCTTCTTTTTCGAGCTCTTCTTGAAGTAGTCCATGATTGTAGGTACTGATTTGGAGTGGAACACAAATTGTGTACGTCATGTTGCTCATCTCTAAGGGCATGTCCAATTGTCCATTGTGAGCTAGGCCAAGTTGCTGAAACCTGTCGATAGTAAAGCTCGATCCAATTTGCCGATACTCACGTTGATATCCTTGTAGTGTAGCATGGATTACTACAAGAAGAGTAGTCTATGATTGCTGGCATTGATTTGAAGCGAACACAAATTGTGTACAGTATGTGAATGTTACTCATAACAAGCTCAAAGAATGCTGCTCATCTCCCATGGCATCATGCCATTGGCTTATCCGTTCTGAGCTAGACAAACTCGCTAAAACCTGTCGATAGTAAGCCTTGATCGAATTTGCTAGTATTCATGTTGATATCCGATAGGATCAGAAAAAGCCGAGGTGAATGATGATATTTTGCATCCACGATGCCTACTGTGCAAATAAAACATGATACGAGTAGAACTCGATCTTAAAATGTTCTGCATGCAGCAAGATGGAGGATATGCAAATGATAGCTTGCAAGTAAACAACGGAGCACACACAATAACTAGTGCTATGAGCTTATTCATACAATCCACAAGGACTGAAATAGCTCTTCATCCTAGCCATGGACTACTAGAAGAAGAAGAAAGTCTTCTTCTCGTAATCCTTGGCAAAACCAACCTGCTCATTTAGATGACTACGACATGACAGTTTTGGCCATCGTCAATAGGGTAATGTAGCGTTGCAGTGATCGACTCTACTTCAAATGACCAGTAAAAGAGTCGATCAGCACGTTTTGAACGTTCTGACCAGCATTTTCTATCCCTTTGCAAATTCTCAGCAAACAAGTCATTTCCATCACGCAAAACATACCCAGCGATCTAGCCTACAGCATACAATCTGTGATAGTAACAATGGATTGTATGGACAAAGAGGCAACAGCAGGAGGGACCTCCGCTAAAAGCATACAAAACACTGCCAAATTGGCTAGCTGCAAGCCATTTCCTTTTCTCTCTCTTGCTCTATTGCCGCTCCTTCTCGGCGGATCAAAGCTCAATTAATCTACTATTGCAAGTTTATTACACCTTATTTAGACTCTAAAGTGGATTGTTAATCATGTATCCTGTTCTACGGTATCCTATGACTAGTATTGGCCATGTAGTTGGCCGTCAAGGTCGCATAACAACGTTGTTGCTTTCCAAAAGGCTTCATTGCAACGCAAGCAATGGCACATCTGGTCGCCAATCGCTTGCAATGTTATGGACTCATCGTCCTTTACCACCTCCTTCAATGATTCGCTCTATTTCTCTAACAGATGTTGTATTACCAAAACGATCCTATACTTCTGAACAACCATCTTCAATAGAACGATATGTAAGTGCAAATGATACGCCATACTTGTAAGTTCAACATCCTCCAAGCCTTTGCTACACTATCCTATGCCATGCAGCGCTACTAATACTTTCCTGCATACATTAAACGAGCTATCGATACAATCATCAAGATACAATCTCGGTCCTTGTTATTGACACTACTGTATGATGGTGTCTTGGATAGAGATACTGCCATGGAGGCTGTTAGCAGTCTCTATCCATTACGATCAGTTCGACTCGGGTGATAAGCATAACTGGAGAAGAATACGATCTATTCTCTGTTGATTGCTCATCATTTCCAGTCGCTCAAAAAGAGACAAGATGATTGTTTTCCAATCGATACAGTAGTATTCTCTTCGAAAAAATAGACTACAACGAGTACAAGCATCTCTATCCGTATAGCATACTGTAAAAGAATATCGCTTAGGACTATCGTACTAACTTGTGCTGCTGCAGTAGATCATCATGACCTACAACATGTTGTACTTTTTTAGACGACACTGTCACGTCGTTTAACCTTAAAATAGCCTCCACCTAAAACACAACATCCTATGGCTACTATACTCAATTCTACAATAGATGTAAGTTGAAAAGTGTTTTAGTAAACATCTTAGCCTATTGCATCTCGTAGTGTAGACATACTAACCGTAGCCAATAGACATAGTGTCATTGAATCCTATCATCAAGCTCATACAACATGTCATTGATGACTTTAATATGGCCAATGTTAACACTAAACCGTAATGTATTATATCAATACAATATGCGTTGAGAAGATACAACGGTAACTTTTTTGATTAGGACTAAACTAATAACGTTCTTCATTGTTTTTGAATAGAGAGATCGAATTATAACCGTACCGAATATTTTATCCATGACACGACTTGTCCTATCTCCATACTTGGCCTATTTGTTACTACAAGATCATTTCACAAGTGCTTTAATACTTTTCACTGCTGCTGGCCTAACTGATTTGGTAAATAGAATAGATGTAGATCTCAATTACATAGTGCTAATTTAGATATAGCCATTACTGCATCTAATCAACTAGCCTTTGAATGAGATCATTGAGAGTTAAACTTTACATGTCTATCTACTTACTGTATAACATAATCTACTACAGTATATTGCTATTGAATTAAAACGCTATGGTATTATAATTATTGGATATGGAGTATAACTGATATCATAATAGACAGTAACATTGAATCTTTCGCCTAGAATTCATTTATAAGTTAACGTTTCAGACACACAATGTGTTGATTTCAGCATAGTTAATAGGTCTAACGACAGTAGAACATAATCTGCTACAGTATATTACTATTAAATTAAAACGTAATTGCATTACAATTATTGAATGAGGAGTATATCTGATATCATAATATACAGTAAAATCAAATGGTTGGTCTAGAATTCATTTGAAAGTTAACCTTTCAAACACACAATGTATTAATAGATTAATGCAATGTATTGTTGATTACCTGTAGATGCAATAATTATTATTATTTATGGAAGACATAGAGGATAAAAATGACAGTATTACGTCGCTATTTATTATCAAGGTGTAAATCATTGTTCATTTAATTCTATATAGCTGGATGGCTGGATTGCAAGGCGTTACTCTAGCCAAAAATCGTTAATTGGAACCGTATTAGACCCCGTTTCCGACAAAATTCTTATGTGTACCTTAACCGTATCTCTAACTGCTGCTTCATTACTTCCATGTAGGTTAAAATTGATCAACAAATTAGCCACATTAATCCATTACTAATGATCCATTTATTACTGTATCTAGGGCAAATTACTGCAATCATTCTATCAAGAGACATTGGATTAGTGACATACGCTTTTTACTACCGATTTAAAACACTTCCTCCACCTGTATGATTTTTGCTACTGCGCAGCGACTCGATACATTTGTAATTTTGGTACTTACTGTAAATTGGAATAACTTAAAAAGTATATCTATCTATTTTAATTGTAGGTTACTCTCAACCGATTTTTCAGTACAAGGCATGCTCCCGCCGAAATCCATCCGCTTGGTATTAGTAAGGTAATGTCTACTGCATACTTGTACCTACGCGTACAGTTTAGTACGTTTAAAAAATTTTGCAAATTTTTCAACATAGTACGACTCACTGGAAATATGGGAGCTTATCATTTATAATTAGAAGCAAATTTCCTTTACTGACTTTGCAAATATAACTTGAAGACATATGCTATATCATTTAATATCATGCCATTCTTATCTTGCTAGCTAAATACCGGTCTACAATTATCGCTGATATTCATGTCTATAGCAGCACCCATATTTGACTTTATACATCATCCTATGCTCCAGATCTTATGGTTCGTCACTAGCCTTATTATTTTTTCTAGCATTTTTTTAATTACTTCTAATGAACTAATTTTTAATCAATCATGATGGGCAATAGGTTTACGACTGCAGCTACAACGGTTGCATCAGGACTTAGCTACATGAGATCTGTAAATTTTGTCAAACATCTTAAGAAAAGTGAAAGGTAATTACTTAAAGATGATGTAAACTCATCAAATAAACAATTACATTTTTGTACTATCTTCTAAGCAAAAGGCTATAATTGCTAAACAGATTTTTCTAAATCAATTTAACAAAGAGAAAATTTGCCTATTTAATTTATCTCAGCAATAAGCTTCTATTTTAAAACCAATGAATCAATAGAAAGAATCTGATGCAATTGATTGTTTATTGCATTGCTGTCGTATCTCAAAGGCATAACATGTCATGCATAGATAAAAATTGCTATATTCCATCGTATTGTTTGACCGTCAAATAGCCTAAAAGAGAAAATTAAGTTTATGTCAATCAATCATCTACCATGATTAGAAATTTCCAGCTTGTGTAATTTCTAATCGATACTGTCTATTATTTGTAATTAATGGATGGATAACATTTATTTGATATATATAGAATTAAGTAACCGTTGATATGGCAAAGTCATTTTTGTTGTATACTTCTTCATTGTTGGTACTAACATGAAAAAAATTATATTTGTAATAATACGCGTATATTACAAATAAAACTGCTTGTCCCTTTTCAATGATAATTCCAAATTACTGGCAATAATGATATGGGTTATAAATTTATAGTGAATGTGCATTATATCCTTCTATTCTAGCACTGCACTTGATAGCGACCAATAGCATCGCCTGTCTAGCTTACCATAGTTGAGAGCTAGCTAAATTTGTATAAACACGGTTAGCTGCAGTGTACGCGTATAAAACAAAAATAATCTATACCAGAGTAGGGTGTCTCGAAGATAATATAGCGTTGAAATACTATACGAATATACTGTACTTACTGTTAGTAACAAATTTTATAAATACAATGTGCACAGCTGGCAGCAGATCAAAAATACCATTAATCTTTGTAATATCATTTGAAAATAAAAATGAACTATTGCATCGCAGAGGAATTTACAGAACAACAGCAATCAGTTCAATTTGTAAGACTATATTCAAATTAATATTAGAGCTTAAGAAAATATTTTATAATGGTATTAAACTCTAGTCAGTTATAATTATATACGAATTGAGCATTGTACAAAATTGATCATCTAAAATCAATCGCACTAGTTTCTTTTTCTTAATAAGGTAAGATGAAATTTTGACATATACTGTATGCTGCACTTATATATCAAGATAGATACGTAAGATGGCAGCTTTATTACAATAAATAATCCAGTCGTGCTTACAAGCTAAATCACCTGAGATTACAGATATAAACATCTCTAACACTATACTAACGTCACAGAATGTGATAACGTGAAAGTAGCTCACCGAAAAACTAGTTTTTAGCTTTTGAGCTTGAAATGTTATACGATAGCAAAAATTAAATTGCGCTATGCTCACCCCTTTGATCAAAAAAGCATAAAATTTTGACATTAAGTATTTTCTTAGCTGTACAATGATGCTGTAATCTTAATGTTTACTAGATTTATGATAATTAATTCATACTGGTAGAGGATTGAAATTTTATTATCAAGATCAAACCAATTGCAATGTATTAGCACAACTTTATTGAGCTACTTTAAGTATTAAAGTACTATCTAAGTCATTGTATCCAATTCCTCGCTGTATAAAGAATATACGTCTTGTATATACTATCTCTAAATATATAGTAATCTACATAATACCATGCTAGGTTACAGTGCTGTATCTAAATACGATGGTATTACACTAGTACTATGTATTAATTGTGTATGAATATAGGCGTATATATGGACATATGTGCAATTAGTTATCCCATAACTACACAACTACTCGTTAATTACATATGTGTAGATTCTAATACCGTTATTTACTACACCAATAGTCCAGTAGCGTATAATCAAGTGCAATACCTAGTTCTCATCCATGATACTACATGCAATCTTTGTAAGTGATCCATGTTTTATAAATGACAATTGATTTATAGTTTTATTATGAATTAACATACTTACTTGAGCTACACAGCAAGACGTAGGTTAAAATGAGTCAATTCATAGAGATTTATGAGCATCTATATAGACGAAATAATCAGTCAGCATAATGATTGTTATCCTCTTAGCTACTATTGTCAGTCTAATTAACTCGCCACTTTGGTTTCCATAGCAACGACGGGCTCAACCTCTGCTAGTATTGTTTCTACTATCGTCTTGATCAAACATTATTTTGCCACTGTAGCAATCATCATAACTACTAGCCATCTTTGGAGCATGTAATAGTAGAGGTAGAAGATCGATGGAAACAAAATTATCGTCAACAGAATCGTCGATGGTAACAGATATGAAGACAACTACAGTAACGAAAGAAATAACTGCGAACCATGATCAACAGGATGAAAATAAGAAAATCACCGAAATAACCGAAAGCCCATATCATAAAGCCATTCAATATATGGAAAAACATCAAATTCTCCATATGTTACAGGTTAGTATGAAGTGAAAACATGACTTCTTTTGCGCCGATACTAGTTTAATTTCTACTTTGTGCAGTCAATACTGTTGATTGGATTGAATAAATTAATATAGCAAGAATATATAAAAGCAATACTGTACTATTTTATCATGTTGTTATATATGTCGTTAACTGAGTAGAATACCTGAAATCTCGGTCTTTTACGTGATACCTAAATGAATACGCCAACTCACCCTAATTTTATCCACGTTTATGTCGTAGGAGATCATCCATAAACGGCATGATACGTTATATTTCAATCGAAATTATCTAATTGAATCACAGTATAATGACGGTTTTCATCAGATGTTATTTCCGATCTTCTGCTATTTAATGTAAGGCGTCGTGATTGGATCATCGAATGTAAAAGATCTCTATCATAGAAGTTTACATTACAATTAAATAGATAGAACGAAGACTGCTATTTCCATCATCATCTCATGTAAACCTACTCCTCATAGCAGCACTTTTACCTTACATAATCTCATTATCTTAAAGTAGCCTTTCAATTAACCTATTTTTTACTTATTTGATCTAAGGCTATGATTATCAAGTATCATGACGATATGTCGTAACCTATCAACCGAATTAAATGCAATAATTTTTCATGGACTAATTACGCGCTTTTAAATAGCTTGCCATTCGATCAAACGATATAATTCATTTCCAGTGAATGAAAATGCTCCAAGTCAGCATACAAATGGTTATAGCTGACAATATGATATATTTTAAAACGACATATAGCAATAATTTTATATGTTACAAGTTATTGAAATTATGCTTGATCGAGTATTCATAGTACAATGTCGTCTTATTAACACAACGGGGTACCAGAAAGGATCTATTACTTCTACTATATATATTGCCCCATAGCTTTCTACAACGCTTCTAGTTTTGGCTAATTTATCATTAAACAAAAATTGCTATAAAATAAAAAAGGAATAGTAACTATCATAGCATATAAGAATCCAGATTGAATAATGTCTTCTACCCGCACAAAAATTTCCAGCTGTGTAAATTTTATCGTTGAATAATATTTATAAAATCAATAAGACTAAGGTAATCAAATTTATAATTGGTAGTAACTTATAAATGCTTTGCCATTATTATTCCTCAACGCTTAAAACATCTTTTCACAAAAGCAAATCTTATCATTTAAATCAATTTAATAAAGTAAACATATGAAATGTCTATTAATCTCTGACATTATCACTTTGGTACGGCCTAAATAGTTACACTTTCAAATATCGTAACATCGTAATTGCAATATTTTTGCCATATTTTGCAAATGAACTAAAAGTATGGGTCGAAATCTTATGTTATTCATGCTTTAAAAGTGTTCTCAAATTGAATTTTTCTTGAATTTATTATACATAATATCACTTTATCATCATATATACGTTATAACCATAATATTTAAAGTATAGTGATTATAGCTATCTAACTTCCTTCACGGTCAATTATCGCCTGGTATTAGGGAATATTGATTTTATGGATTTTTTATTGATGTAAACGTAATGACCACAAATAAACTTTAACTATCTGCAATATTAGAGAAAGTAAAAAGAAAAAATAAACCGTGTAGATTTCAATTTATCGATAGTATTATACGATACATAAAGTTTAATTTATTAAAGTTGACTTTCATCAACTATAAATTAATTCGAAATCTAGGAAGAAGAAAGCTTAATTTTTACCTATTCATTCCTTCTAGCATCTTTATTAACCTAATTTTTTTCATTTAAATTTAAATTTTGATTTGATTATTACATAATTAAAATCTTCCAATCATCGGTAGTCTGTAAACCATCTGTTAATTTACAGTTGATAATTTTCATTTTTATCTTTTTATATTGCCGTTGCTAGCAATTAACCTGTGAAATCATTCATAAAAGACCTGAAGATCCATTGCAATTTATTATTAATGAACTAAGCATCGAAAACGGTCAAGAAAAAGATAGAAATAGCTAGAACAAGTTAACGTGAAGCGATCATACCCTTATAAAAGAAGAATTTTTAACTCTTAAAGATACTATTTTATCCTTCTAAGATTCAAAACTTAGACTTTAACACATCGTAAATGGATTAAATTAACTACTTCAATCCTAAAAATTTCATACACCAGTTATTATCAACCTTAAAAAGGTAGAATAACGTCCACAGCCAAATTGCAGCATAATGCAGATTAAATTAGCATCAAAATGGAATATTCATTATGATTCTCCGTTCTAACAGTGAGTTATACAAAGTAGGAGATCAACTCCTAACATTCTGGTCATCATAGAATTGGATTACAATAATTTGCTATTCAGAATTTGTTACCATCTACCGTAGCTAAAGCTACAAAATTTATAGAGCACAAGATCAATCGACAACAAGCTGATTAAAGAATAGGTTATTCAATGTCTATGCTAGCCTGTGTAATTATTATTACTCTAAAGTACAAGATCATTTGACGATATACTAGCCTTAGAAGAGCTAATAAATTACATTTTACTATTCTATCAGTATATTTACTGCTAACTTTATATTCGTAGCTACAGACTAAGATTAATTGAGGATCAATGAATGTAATTTGCTATACATCATAGCTAGCTTTTGACTCGTAGATAGAGTTTAAAGGTCAATTCCTTTAATAGCTCAAACATAGCTTAAGTTTAAACCATCTCCTTGATTGTGCTGTATTATTCCTAATACTTGTATTATAGGCTATAAATTGTATAGCAAGCAGCACCAATAGCAGCCGATAGATAAAAATTAAATGTTGTAGAAAAGCTGTAGACTTACTACAGTAATTATGATAAAAATGAGATCCGAAAGTTATTGATAATTATTTAAGCTTTCCAAGGGTGAGTAGTCAGCCCAAAATGCATTACTATCAACAATTAATCCATGTAAAATGTGTATGGTAATGATAAAGATACTTTAAAGGGTCATTTCCCAACCTTAATTAAAGTGAACAATTTTCTTAGTTGAAATATACTGTATATCATGATCAGTACCGATGATTTACTGTGATCATTACAACCTCATTAATGTCACCTAAAACAAATATTTTAATTTTAACTATTTGATTGCATAGTATTCTACTTGTAGCCTAACTTTATACTATATTCTTCATTTGCATTTCACAAACGTACTTGATACAGGTTGACAATTGAATCTATCCTTTAGCATTTTAATACGCAAATTATGCACAAATCAAAAATGATAAAAGGTTTAGATCTGTCTATATCAATGTTGACATGAGAAGACCAGTCTCATAATGACAACTCTGTTAGGATTACCAATTTTTGCTTTGTGCATTATCATCACTTCTGAAGTAATGTAACATTTTGATGATGCATTGCTTATATTGCAGAGTTCCGTAAAAATTTTGATGCTTGACCCAACCCGACACTCCAGCTTTCTTGATAATATTTTCGTGCGGGTTGTCTGTAGCATGCTCCTTTTGCAAAACTCTGCTGTATTGTAGATTTTTTTAATACCGGATAATAAACAAGACTTTTTTGCCTGCTTGGAAACATAAGCGTATAAATGTTTATACAGTTTTAAACCTTCAATTGTCATTATCATAACATCGATTTTTGGGAATTACTTTAGCGATTTGTAAGCAAAATAGAAATAAGAACTGTAAAATTTTATTATTGAGAGTCAATTACAAACAATCAACTCTTTCGTATTGACCAACACGATATAAAATGATATCCCTTATCTTGTAAGACAGTATTCTAATCGAAGGTTATAAATCTTGGCTGTACAGATAGAAAATCTGTTAGAAATATTATAAAAGAATAATAGCTGAATCACTAGAAAAATGAGTAATAGCATATTAAAGGCGATTTTTACAATATGAACTATAAAGTATATCTTGGATCGATAATCAAACCTGTAAAATTGAATTGGTGTATAGGATTTACTTCCATTTAAAATAGCAGCTCGAATATCGATAAATATCAAATGTAAGTGCTAGATATGATACTGCTATTTGATGGTGAAAAAGTAAATATTTTCTAGAATATTCAAGACAATAAATCAGTTTTTCATCATCTATTGGCATTTCCAGACAAAAATGCTAAAATAAGAAAAAGAAAAAGTAATCGTCGCGTCAATTTGTGATAGTTTTTCAGTATTAAATAACTTTCACTTTATTAGGTAATCGTGACAACTAATTACAATTTATGGGTAACATACCAGCAATCGTCTCCTCCAGCACTAACTAAATATCGATCATCGCATGTAAATTTAACATTGGTAACATGAGCGGAATGACCCACAAAACTTTTAAACTTGGCCTAGTTAGTTAAAAATGTCATGTCAACGATCAAACGGCAATAAAACGATTTCAATGAGCTAAAGTAAACGCTTACATTTTTCAATTGCTATAGAATTGAATTAATGTCAGTACTACTTTATTACAGAAAAAACTAGAATTAAAGACTTACATGCTTTTCGGTTGATGGAAATTTAAATAGTTTAACCAAACCGAAATCATCTCCTGTCGCAACTGCTTCACAAGTATTTGTCACGCATGCACAATTAACATCCGCATTATCAGCATTACGAGGCCACACACCAACTACCTCATCACCTAATACGCTATTTAAGAAATAATAACACTGGCGATTAAGAATGTCCTGTAAATAGACAAATCAGTAAATAGTTTTACCTAGTCCATGTATTCCAAGTAATAGTATTAATTTTTTTTTTATCAGTAATTTGAATGCCAGAAGGAGCTGAAAAAATTAAGCGTTCATACGATCCGGTACTAACCTGTATGATGATAACAGTAATGTGATCTATTAATTGGATGGATGAAGATGTATACAATAGATTGAATTAAGATACCATAAGTATAAATATACCTGAACATAATTACTATCGGCAGACCAATCAAGTTGAGTTACATAATTAGGTATCCCTTTGCAATATCCAAGTCTAGTCAAGTTACTGCCTGGACCAGTATCATAGAAATCAACACAGTTATCGTCTGACCCGATAGCCAAGCAACGACCATCAGGACTGAATCTATAACATAAATATCGAGAACGTGTTTGAACTCTGATAATATACTTCAAAATCATTATAACTATTAATATATCGACCAAAGATATAGTCATTCTTAAAATGAATAAAATACCATACACTACCAACATAAACATTGTATATTAATTACATCCACTTCTAATAATAAACTGCAGCAGTAATAAAATAAAGGATGGCAATGAAAATGGTACTAATATACGAATAAACCACAGCGATATATGCACACACATTATATTGTGGAACTCTGATATCATTTTCACGATTAATATAATGATCAACCCCAACGCATAAATCTTAATAACACGAAATCTTACTTCAAATCATTAATGGACTTGTGGCGGTCACGCTTTCTACTAATGATCTTAAAGCTATCTTGTGTTGGCTTTAATAATAAGAACTCCCCATTTTTAAGACCGACAGCAACAATATCACCAGCTGGATTGAAACAAGCAGAACGAGCAGGTTGACCTACATTCGCTTTCATAGCTAAAGCCTGTGTGTTTTACATAATAAAATGTTATTAGATATTTTCAGCCCCGCTATAAGTGATATCTACGTAGCAATTACAATACATGCATATCTCCATTAAAAAATTGAAAACAACCATTTCAAATACCTGCTTGCTAACGTCCCATAAACAAATAGTTTGGTCTTCACTAGCAGAAACACAGAACGGCAATTGCGGATGAGTAGCTAATCCCCAAATTTCTCCTTCGGCATGGCTTTGGGCCACAATCTGTAAGACATAAGAACTGATTTCAGCAGGTTCAATTTTAAATTTATATCCCGTCAACCGTTACGGCCATTAATTTATCAGCTACCTGGACTACACCGCCTTTTTCCGCCAGCTCTAAAATATCACCCTCTTGTGTTCCTATCAGTAATTTTCCCTACATACACATAAATATTATGCAAAGAAATTTTTATATTAAAATTTAAACGGAGACTAATCGAATAACTTGAAAATTGAATCTTATCATCATAGACCTTGTGGCGATTAACAGCTCGAACGATAGTTCTACTGAATTCTTTACCAAGACCATAAGTTTTACATCGTTTCATTTCAATATCCCATAATTTAATATTTGCTCCCTCTTTTGCACTATATAATATGGTCATTGTATGTCAATATTAAATAAATAATGACCATAATCATTAAGTGGGATTAAAAATATGATACTTACAATTTATCCTTCCCGGCACTAAGAATTAATCCATCTTTTTGAGTTGTATACAAAGTAAAGACTGGCCCAGTGTGAGCCTTACTAATCACTCGAGCTAATTGATTGCCAGACCAAACATACACATCTCCACTCATGGCTCCGGTATATGTGACATTATTCTAATAGTAGATAAAACAAATCGTAAGCTTATGATAGTTAGGTCTCATAAGTATATAATTGCTCATTTGTGCTAATACCTACGGAAAAGCGTAATATTTTAACTTACGTGTATTTATTATTAAGATCGGTACGAGTATTAGCATTCAATTTCCTATTAATTTTACATTTAACTTACTGGTGCGAAGGCTATTGATAACATCGTTTGCATCTTCAAATTGGAAAGATCTTCCCCTGCACCCTGTCCAAAAACACCACGTTTACCAAGTAAAGCTCCACCAGCAACAGTCCAAAATTTGACGTGTTTAACACCAACAGTAACGAAATGAGAATTAGAATCAGGTCGAAATTGTGCATATAAGATCCTCTCGTTATGATCATGCGACGTTGCCACTCTCGTACCTTTACAATACAAGTAAGATGTTCATTAGCTAGCCGAGTAAAACTTGAAGTTATAAAAAAGTATATTAATTTTGGATATTATTAAAATTTGTGATTTATATGATAAATTTACCATCTTGCCATTGCCATACTGCAACAGAGTGATTATCATCAATCCCAACCGTCAATACTAATTTTCCACTGCTGCTAAAATTAACCGCACAAATACCACCCTTATGAAATCCACGTAAGATAGATAAAGTCTCTTTAGAAGAAGCATGCCATACGTGAGCCATAGCCACTTTACCTAGTTGACCTGTTACTACAATATTTTCAAATTTAGGGTTTTGATTGACACTTAAACATAAGATATCGTCCGTATGTTCCAGATAGAATGATTGTGTTCCATTAGCCATGTCCCGAACAATTCCAGTGCCTGCAGCATGATAAACGATATTTCCATTGGGTAAATAATGTAAATTGTTACGTGTATCGAATCCACGATATCCAAAAACATGATCTAATCTCATGTCCTGTACAATTCGGAAAAATAGGATTTATCAGGCAACGTTATTATAGAAGTTTACAAATATATTTTGATTATTACTGTATAGATATACCTGAACGTAAAGTGGCTTGCGCTTCTTTCCTGACGCTAACTGTGGTGGATCACGTTTTAGTACTTTAGGCGGTCCCGCAACACCACGGCTGACTTGAGGCCGACTAAAAGGAACAAACAGCAATGTATGAAATATATATATATTGATGGCAATAAGAGAATAACTGGATAGAGTAGTGTATACAAACACTATAAAATAGAGTTACTGTAAAATATTCGCTTAACATTTAAGATACTGTACTTACTTTACATCAATAGCCTCTTGATCGTCTGCTTTCATGTGAGGTTTAGTACCTTCATTTCTTCGTATCGGATTTGCATACGTCTTTGCATCATAATCTATATTCTTTTCGCGTTGAACATCGCTATCATAACCACCTGTATATGATCATAGTTATTTAACTGTTCTTACTACACCATAAACGATTATCATGAATGATCGTAATCATAACAATAAGTAGTGAAACAAAATTTTAATACCTTCTTCTTCTGAATCAGTATCGGAGTCATCGCTTTCACCGTACCCAGCGCGTCCTTTATTAGCCCAGACCATAACTGATGTGTCGGCTCCACCAGTCGAAATAAGATATTTATTATCGTGCGTCCAACGTACGTTGGTAACATGAGCGGAATGACCAACGTACTTTTTAAATTTAGCAAATTTACCCTATTTTAGAGTTCAAATATTAAACGATAAGTATATCCAATTATTCATCGGACGCTAAAAATACAGCGAAAGTATGCAGCACACAATTTGTATACTATAATTCAAAATAATTAGGAAAATACTGAATTAATAACCACTATATATTATAATCCACTAAAACTATCTACAGTACAGTAAATTGTAAAGCACTCTATCATAATAAGGATCCATTCTGATTTTATTTTGACAGCATTCTGTTCTCGAACGAGTGTATTTGTGCTAGTTAAATATATTTTCCAATACTATGGATAAAGTTTTACTTAAAGTGTAAATAGCAAATTAATAACTTTAAAACCTTGACTGGAAAACCAAATATTTTAACAAATCCAAAGTCATCTCCAGTTGCTAGAATTTTTCCTTTTGATGTTAAATGGGAAGCATTAACGTCGGTCACATCGGATTTATGAGGCCAAATGCCTTCACATAAACTTCCCAAAACGCAAGTCCAATTATTCCAGTCCATTTTTTCCAGTTCGGCTGATCGAATTGTTTGTCGATGCCCTCTTGGAGCTTCAAAGAATAGCTCCTCCTTCGCACCAGTATTGACATGTATTAATTTGCCTTAAACCGTATCAGCAATAAAAATCATTAGTAACCGAAAATATGGTAAGTTATTTGGCACTCTAGCTAAAATAGCAACAGTTTTGACCGTCGTAAAAACATTTACCCTTGTTGTTACGCAACAACGGATTCCTTACCTCGTTTATCCCAATCGACGTGAGTGATGTAGCTAGATGCTCCTTTGCATATCCCTACTCTTTTACTATTTAGTACATTGTATATATCAACAAAGTTGTCATGAGATCCCACTGCTAAATACTTTCCTTGACCTTGTAAAACAAATATTTGAAGGACATTAACACTAAGCAACAGAACATTAACAATTACATTCAATATGATAATATCATTTACCAGGTGAGAATCGTATGTCAGAAATTTCTTCCTTACGATGATGAAATTCTGCCATATCATCTAATGAACTCGAGTCAATAACGCAACAACTCCCTGCATGTACATTTTGTAATTGAGCAAAGAATTAATAATGAGTAAAGATTAAATAATACTTTGGATAATTTGGAAATCTAGTATTACCATCTTTGAAACCAATAGCAATGGCTCGTCCATCTGGTGAATAACTTGCACATCGACCAGGCTTTCTCAGCTTGCGAAAATTTTTTAGTCGTCGGTTCGTCAAATCCCAAATTCTTACAGATCGATCATCACCGACAGTACAACAAATATGCTCAGAAGGGTGAGTAGCTAATCCCCATAGTTCTCCCTCGCAGTGACCCTATTAACAATAAAAAGAAGATAATTTATTACTCAAAGATAGTAATGATCTCTTTTTATCGTATTTCATGCATTAATTACTAACAGAACGGTAACAATAATATCGCAATGTTTTAATTCTTACTTGAACTAATACTTTTATGGTACCACCTTTATCCATTTCAAGGACCTACATCGTCATTAAAGTAGAAATGAAATTTAGAATAGCTATGTGGAATTTTTATAATGTATTTCAAGAAAGAATGAAATACCTCACTATTTCTCGTTCCAAGTAATATTTTTGAATGTCCAAGCACTACCGATCTGATAGATGGATTATCGTCAAACATTAGTGATGTATAGTTACCTTGAGCCAAAGCGGACCGCGTAATTTTATAATTTTTGATACATTTCTTGAATGAATCGTCCCATAAAGCAACAGTTCCATCTTTGCCACCGGTAATAAAACCCTTCAAATACATCAAAAATAGATCTGAATTTAAGGCATCATTTTATATTAGCGACTACAGTTGCAGTAGTAATAATATAATTTACCTTTTCCAAAGTACACATAGCTAATACGGGTCCTTCATGACCTTTAACGGTCTCAACTAAGCTTGTACCTTGCCAATGATAAATTCGTCCATTCGCACACCCAGAATAGCAAGTGTCGGCAGTTTTGCCGTATGTCAAACACAGCATAGTATCTAATTTCCCTGCTTGGCCAAAAGTTCCACGTTTTGATGTGAAACCACCGCCAGTTTGTGTCCAAAATTTGATATGCTTAGCTCCAACTGTAACAACCTGATCATGACTATGTGGATTCCATTTAATGCTAAATATTTTATCCTTATGGCCCCTAAAGAGATTTTGCAACAAATTTTAGAGTCTTATTTATTGAACGTCAATACCTATGTCATTACCAAGAATTTTCTTTCCAACTGTAATTATCTTTTAGAGATTATTACCTAGTGGTTGCAATTTTTTCTCCTTTTTTCCATTCCCATACAACGATAGTATGATTATCGTCTAGCCCAACTGAAGCTAATTTCTTTCCATCATCTTAAAATTGAGTACATCAAATAAAAATAACTCAAGATTTATTTATTGTTAGCAATATTTCTCAATCAAATTGATGTTATCCTACCTGAAAAATCTACTGTACAAACTCCGCGAGAGTGTTGCCCTTTCAAGACGGAAAGTACTTGACAAGTAGCCGCATCCCATAAATGTATCGTAGGATCTCGACCAACCTAAGGCAATACCAACACATTTATATTGTTTCAAAGACATTAGCTACTGCAGTGCATTTATTAACAGTTAAAATTCTTATTAGTTAACGCACTTGACCGGTAGCAACTATATCCTTGGTAGGGTGTATTGACAGCGATAGAATATCATCTGTATGACCCTGGTAAAAACGTTGCGTATTATCTTCACGATTATAGACGATACCCACAGCTGCAATGTGATAGACTATTTCTCCTTTAGATGTATAAAATATATTATTGTGACAGTCATACCCACGATACCTTTAAAATTCAACATAAATTAATAAGAATGTGTTATAAAGTCGTTTTCTTAATAAAAAAATATTCATTTATCTAATTATTGCATCTATTTTGAAAACAATTTTCGATAGCTCAATTTACCCGAAGGAAAAGTGTAAATCTAAGCCAAAAGTAGGTGCACCAGCTCTTTTATCAGTGCTTTTACCACGTATTTTCTTATCTTGGCGATGCTGCTGTTTCAGTGCAACAGCATCTTCACGATAGAAAGTTCTTTCATAGGTTTGCTGTTTTTCTACTTCAATATCGCTATCCATAGCACCAACATCGGAAATATCGGAATCACTTTCTTCACTATCAGAATCTACAAAGCCTAAAGACGCATAGGTTTAATGTATACTTCAATAGGTATAATATTGTTGTAAGATAGTAGATAAATTTACTGTTAATTTCATTTTTATCAGCAACCAAATAACAATATGTAGATACTACATGTAATCCAAAATAATAGTTTGTTAAATTTCTGATCTACTGTGTCGATCCCTAACTTAGAATAGTTCTATCTTTGCTAAAATTTTTCACCTTATAAGATTAAGATAATTATGCTATGATTTGTATATAAATCAAAACAAATATAAAAAATTATTGCTTTGTAGGAAATAATCACAATGGCAGAAGTTGAATCACTTAGAATACAATATCATACCACTTTGCTGATCATGTAGGTCATCATCTTCTTGATCGCGTGGGGTCGCAGCTCCATCAGGTAGAAATCTCCACTGAAATATAGCATGATCTGCTCCACCGACAGTGATGACGCGTGATTTATCATGTGAGAATCGCACATTGGTAACATGAGCGGAATGTCCAACATATTTTTTAAACTTGGCTCCTATTTAATGCACAATTTTATTTTCGATTATCAAATATTAATTAGAGAAATAAATAATATTGCAAAGTTAGACAATCATTATTAACCCAAGATATTGCAAAGAAATTTTTCATACCTTTTTTAACACATGGGAATCGATATAATTTAACCAAACCAAAATCATCACCAGAAACTAAGACTTGATTAGTATAACTTGTGTCTACAGCATTAATATCATTCGTATCAGAGTATTTAGCCCAAATTCCATTCACTTCCGGTCCTAATGTTGACGTCCAAGATACCCAGTGGATGGATTCCATTTCTTCCTGATTAGTTATCTGCTTACCAGCTGTAAATTTGTATGGAATTTGATATCATTAGATACAGAAGTTATCTTTCGATAAATATTTTCACCTAATTGATTGAGTTGTTATAGTTAACTCAATGTTTAAAATAATATGAGGATCGTTATAATTCGTTAAAAGAAGTTCGATACTTAAGGTCAATTTGAGGATATTATTTCTAGTAGCTCATTATAAATAGGCCAATATTATCCGTATACGTATTACACATAACACTTACTTGGCATACGAAAAAAAAGGCGTTCTCCAACGCCACTGTTTACTTGTAAATGCTTAGAATCTTCTGACCAATCAACATGGGTAATGAAACTTGTACTACCAGAACATTGACCTGCATGTTTATATCGTTGATTAACAGCATAAATGTCTACAATTCCATCATTAGAACCGACTGCTAAAAAATTTCCACAGGGTGAATATTTCATTTCATGAATGGCTTCTTTGCGATCTTTAGTGACTAATATCTCTGACAAATCTCTACATTAAAATGAGCATTTTGTCAAGCGTTCTCGTAGTTAGATGTTAATAATTAATTTCATGTGCAAAAAATTTTTATCCTGATCTGTATTAATCTATCCAGTCTGTAGTAATATATACCTAGCTTTCAAAATTACAAAGGAACCATCTTGTAATCCAACAGCAATGTGAACAGCATCAGTACTAATTGCTGCTGAACGTACCGGCTGCGGTACCGCTATTTTAGATAGAAGGTGATTATCGCTCATACTCCATAACCTTGATCGTGAGATAGGAATGGAAGAATGTAATCCAAGTATTCTTGGTATTTGAATCTAATATCGATATAGTAACTAATACGTAAAAACTCTGAAACATCGCTCTCGCTAACCTGACGGTACAATCATCACTGCCAGTAACAAAAAACGCCTTTTTTGGATGGGGTGCTAAAGCCCATAATTCGCCTTCAGCATGTCCTTGAATAAGTAATTTTGGCTTATCTCGATCACGCACAGAAATCTCAAAAATTTCACTATCTCTGGTCCCAACTAAAATCTTATCTCCATGCCAGCAAACACTACGAATAGAAAGATCTATGAAGACATTAAAAAATGAGAATACAGCATGTATATTGCAATAGTTATTTTAATAATGTCTGTTTAGCTATTGATTTAACAAAAAATTTCGACGATTTATTCCCTTCACCACAATTATTTCACGAAAAATATTTACTGGCTGCCGAGCGATACAAATAATAGTAACTAATAGAATTTTCTATTTAAATTAAGCATTGCAAACTGAAATGCTTTTAAGCTTAAAATTTACCATGCGTACAAGCAGAGAAGTTATACAAGTAAGTGAGCTTTAACGCAAAGATCTTACAAATATTTTTAATTATTGATTCCAAAGCGGTATGGAAGTGAGTAATTGAACAGAGAATACTAATAGTCCCTGGATTGAATAGATATCAGATCATAGTATAATTTTAAGGAGAAGTGTTCTCAATGTTATGGACTCATCAACGCACCATTTATCACGCAGTATATAATAATGTACTTTCTCACGTGCACACCTCTAATTCACAGGGTATATATAGTAAGTAGTTTATGTAGTTGCATAGCTATCAACTTATCTTTCTGATATAACTGCTTGCACAGTATACTACTTAAATACCTCTTTAAAATTTAATACTGAAATGTATCCTCTGTCAAATATATTTCAAAACCATTTTATAATACCTGGATAGCCACCCGAAGTTTGCGTAAGATCAAGCTTAACGATCGGTTTAAATTCTGTATCCCATAATCTCACAGTACCATCGCGAGAGCCAGTAGTATAGCCATCATTGCATTGAAATATAGTAAAGATAGCACTCTAATAATAGTGTCATCAACAAAAAATTTTGGAATATTACTACTTAAGCTGCCGTATGTCTTACATAGCTATGTAGTAGGGCATAAATCAATTGATCAACAGAATGACATCTATAGATATAATAAAAATAGGTGTATCTACCCTATGAGCATTTTGGTAATTGTGAATCAACTCGTGGTTTCGCCATTTGTAGATATCACCACTTAATGTACCCGAATATATGATACTGTCAGGAGCAAATGCCAAGCATAATAGTGTTTGTATTTCTCCAGCTCTACCGAAAATACCTTTCTTTGCCATAAGAGCATTACCACATAACGACCAAAAGTTAATGTGTTTCACTCCACAAGACACCAGTTGATTATTCACAAAAGGATTAAACTGAACATCAAACACCTATCACATTGTTAAAAATAGCATAACTTGAGACATATTGACTTTTACAAATTGATCTGTTAGGGAATTTATTGCCACATTATACAGCATAGACATAAGTGCAAATAATAGATTTCTATAATGAAACGGTCACAATTTTCCTTTTATTCTTACCCTTTCAGTATGTCCAGGAACGGAAGCTAGGATTCTACCCTTTGCCCAATCCCAGACTGCAATTTGATGTGAGTCTTCCAAACCAACTGATACTAACAACTATAAACGATTAAAATGTGATAAATTATTTCACTGTCAGAGCAGACTATCATATGAAATACGTATTAATTGCATGTTATAACTGAGTATTCAAAATCGATGGAAAAAATAGAACAAAAATAAGTAAAGAACATTATTGAACTTACAGAGCCGTTACCATTGAATGCTAAACCAGCAATACCGCGTTTATTAGAATCCTTTAAAATAGATACAGCTTGTGTCGTTCCGGTATCCCATACACAAATATACGGGCTATTACCGACTTGACCGGTAGCTACCAATCTCTTTTCAGGATGCAAAGCTAAGCTAGATATGATAGAAGAGTAAACATATCGAGCGATCAGTCAAGAAAAATAACGCGAGAGCGTGCAAACCAGTTTTTGTTAGCCAGTATATATGTACAGAATGGAACGCTCATTATTCTATTGATGTTACATCAAATTATCAGATATTGTCCATGAAATTACTAAGTTCAAACGAAAACTGATTAAATTTCGATCTAATTCTTGTATTATGCCTCAAAGTAAAATCGGGTAATTTTAAGCTTTCGCTTTGACATGGATTGGGTCTATATTGATCCTTATTCACACGTGCAGTGGACAATAATCAAAATTCATTAGCAATAAACATAAAACGAAATGGTCCCCGCTTAATTTAAAATAGTCATTTTTTTTTACTGTATTACAGTATACGCATCTGTATTGGAGATTTTCGTCAAGGCGCCATTGCAGACTTTAGCAAGGCAATATTATATGATATTCACAAGGCGAAATTTGTAGGTTAATAACTAGTGGAAATATTGTTATGAGTAATGGCAAGTGTATGCCGAGGCCATTATCCATGTCTATCGTTCATATCAGTTAGCGCGATTGGTACTTCAAAAATTGAACTATTACGATAACGCTATGCCTTGTTATTCCAAAAAGTTATTTCGTTACTATTAATTACGTATGCTACTGTACTATAGAGTAAACAACAGAATTCTAACTGCGAAGACAACAAGGATCATTTAACCCATAAAGTTGTCATGAAATATCCACTAACATGCCACAGCATATTAATACTTTTTTTAATCTTACACGTATTTTATGATAATATCACAATAATGAACTGAATCAGTGTTTATTATGAAGATTTTCTTGATAACTATTTTCCTTACCAAAACTACATTAACAATCTGTTAAGAATAAACTATTTTTCAATCTTATATTAGCTCAATGCAATCCAGAACTACGTCGATGACTATCCAATTCGATCCCTACGTGATAGCCATTGTATCATAGATACAACGTTGCTAAGGGACGCATGTTCAATGAATTTGAAATTGCCCTATCTACATGGCGTACAATTTGCTTCCAGAAGAGGCTATAAAGTACACATTTGATGAAATCAAGAGAGACGAATGATATCTACTAAGATGGCGACAGTTGTAGTATAGGTTCTACCTTATAATGTCATCGTTATGGCCTAAGAAAAATCGTTGCTTATGCTCTTTGATATTGTAAACGATGCCAACACCAGCTACGAAGTAAACAATTTCTTTACTACTTGTATAGTACAGATTATTACGGCATTGATGTCCACGATATCCATAAACCCATTCCAGTCTGAGCTGACTCTTTGGTGCAGTTTTATCAGCCATGCCTCAATAATGGCTGGGTATACAAAATCTCCAAGTTAAAGTTCAATAATGTTGTAGCCCAGCGAGCAATGTCGGAGCACTTTTACTCATAGTTCATCAATCATTGGTGCTGACAAGACCGTTAATTAATTAACCCGCGAAGCGCTTTAGAGTCAGTCACAGTACAGTACATTACTGTACCGTACAGTGTCGTGTACTGTACAGTACTGTACTGTAAGTTGTGAGGATTGTAATGTCCATTTCACAATACTATGTACTGTGAATGACTGTACTGTACACTGTACTGTACATACTGTATTGTACAATGTACAGTTGCCTCCCGAGGACCATGGCAGACTCTCTGAATAGTGGGAATTCACTAGACTGGATTACACAACTGAAGTATAGTACCTTACCTGCATGCGACTAATGATATAAATAGACAATTATAACTTTCACTGTCGCCTACGACCACATCACGTTGAATACACCCGTTCTCGTCTGATCACGGAAGTTAAGCAGCGTCGAGTGGGGTTAGTACTTAGATGGGTGACCGCTTGGGAATACCTCATGCCGTAGGCACCTCTATCCAAAATTTTTTTTTTTAAATTGCTTCAACATGAAGATTGCCTCTAAAAAGCCAGCTGTAGACAACGAGAAAAGAAATGGAATTTCTGATATTGCGATTGATATCCAAGGTGGCTGATGAAGTAGAACATGTAGCTTCATTAAGTCCATAGCAGGCGTATCGCAGTACGTCAGTCCGCTCCGCTTATTCTTTTTGGAGAAAGAGAACATCAAGTAGATTTGCGTCGAAACCGAACTATCGACAGGTGTAGGGGTCTAGCTTAGCTCTAGCTATTTTGCATAAATTGTTTTGTACACTTCGTTGAAACTGTCCTACCGAAGGAAGTCAATACTACTGTACTGTTATTTTACTGCTAAAAGCGTACTCTAGAACGAAATTGGCGGGCAGACAGACGCTCGTACTATCTTATATTGGACTGCTGTAAATAAAGAACAAATGGCTGGTTCTAAACTCGGAACACAATCTGTCTATAGCATACGCCATCCTTTGCATGCAGGTGTATATGTTATATATAGTTATACTCTTACATATCGCAGCCAAGCTGTAAAATCAGCTAGTGCCCACTATTCTTGATCTATTTTAAATAGACAAATTGCAATATTTTAATTGCCTTAGCGATTAAAAGTATCCTAATAGTGCTTACGTACGTATGAGCAGGGACTTGTAAGATCTTACAGGTCCCTGATACGAGTATGTTATAAATACGAATTTGTCAATTTTATTCAGAAAATGGCAGACACTGGCCTGCAGACTTCGGCCTTTGCCCGTAAAATAAACCGACTACTACTGTAAAAGTCCCTGGTATCCAAATCTGGTTTCTTATAGCTCTATAGGTATACACCCACAATATCTCGAATATCTTAGCCAATCCTAACACGACAGAAACGCACTCATAAAAGCACTTTCGCACTCGATATCCTATTGTACAATATTACGCAAATGCTGCATAAGTAATACTAATATTATCAAATCAAAAGTCAGTAACCCACGCCTCACTTGTACTACTTATCAGTTCCATTTCATTATCAAATTAAAAAAAGGGCAAAAGATAGATGGTGCAATATAATATAGTATTAATTTATAAACATTAAAGAAAATGAGGAAAACCAAAAACAAATTTCTCATAGATATGCTGGCTTTTCAAAATAAAAGATTCGATTAAGAAAATAGCAGATACAGGCGAACTGTGATTTATTCGCAAGAATATATTACGAGTACGCGTTATATTATACTCGCGTATACGAGTCGCAGTATAGACGTATTCTCATCAATTTGCATTGCTGTTGTCATCGTAACCTTTTATTCATAAGTAAGTTGATCATGAAACAAGTTAGTAGATTAAATTAAATTAAAATTTATACGTTTAAGTAAAGCAATGTGATTATGAGGTACAACGGCAAACAATTATTATTTACGTATAGTATGAGAAATCAAACAAAATATTCCTAACGTAACAAATTGTTTCAATCTAGTGATATAACCATTCAAGTTCCTGCCCAATTTCGATATTTTATGATAATTATTGCATTCTTATGATTGGATGTATACGATAGTTATCTTGCCTACACTTCTATAAGTCTTAAAAGATCTGATACTAACGACTGTATGTTAGCACAGCTAGTTTTTCCCGTATCTAAAACTTCTTCGTGATTAGGCTTATCATCAGTATCGTAATCCATGATGGCTTTATTAGAAATTAACGATAAACCACACACTTTCAAGCCACAATGTCCCGCAGCAACAACTTCGGGCACAGTACTCATTCCTACAGCATCCACACCAGCTGCTTTTAAGAAGCGCAGTTCAGCAACCGTCTCAAAGCTGGGCCCTCCTAGAAAGCAGTATACACCCTCTCTGATATTAGATATTCCACAATTTTTGGCAGCTACTTTCACTAGTTCTCTCAGCTTGTCATTATATACATTATTCATAGTTGGAAAACGTGGACCAAATCTAGTTCGCATCAGTAAAGCATCAAATAAACTTCGTTCGAAGTATATATTAAACTGCAACTAACCTCATATTCAATGTGAAATTTATCTAAGTTATTAGTCTTACCTTTCATCGTTAGGCCCTCGTAAAACACTACCACCTGCCATACCAGGAAAATTGATGTGATCTTTTATGATCATAATGTTACCTGGATCATAATCGCTATTAATACCGCCGGCGGCATTAGTCACTATCATAATTTCAACTCCAAGTAGATACATAAGCCTAGCAGGTAATGCAACCTACAGTATAACAAAATATGCAGAACAAATACTACATTTAAATGATAGTATAACTATAGTATACTATGTATCTTAATCACGTATTTAAAATATCTTTTCTCAGTTTAAAGTGCTTGCTATTCTTTTTATCCATGTTTTTGCAAACTAATTCAAGAATCAGCTGCTATCTTTATAACTTACTGTAGTGTATTTAGAATATACTGTAACTATATTCTACTCTTAAATATAGACATGTTGTATTACTCTTATATTTAGACAGATCTACAGTCCGTTTACTCTACATTCATATATAGACTACTGTATTTAGTTATTACGGTACTCGCTGTTTTCTACAATCATCTGCTATTTTGTAACCTGTTATGGTATATGTTGTATCTAATTCCACAATCCTATTCTCTGCATGTGCTCTATCTTTAAAACTATAAATACCGGCGATTTCTACCTCAGAGTTCATTAGCCTCTCAGTTAGTCTTCTAGTTAGTCTCTCACAGTCTAATACTTCTACTCGTTACTCACGACAGCTTGCACGCTGATCTACCGTAACTACCTCACTGTACTTCACATTACTAACCTACAATAAAGCATAACTTTTATAAACCCTTTGTTGTAATAATTGTAAATGGCGACTAAATCTCAATCCTCTGAGATATCGAACCCTCCATCACTCTTACTGTGAAATTAAAGCCTATAGCATGTATAACTAAGTAATCACAATATAGTATAGTACATTCATATAGTATGTCTTTGATAGATAGTACTACATATAAATGCGTAAATTAACATATTTATTAGTTATACTGTACAGTAAGAATTTGAGTGAATTGAAGTCTAATATTTTACAGTTACTTCTGTATAAATAATTAAACTCTAACCTTAGATGTTGAATAACCTTCATACTTATGAAATCGCCCTTGCATACAGATAACAGGTTTATCGTTTAAGATCCCAAAAACTAAACATGCCCTATGGCCTTGAACTATTGACGAAAGAAATAACTTAAGAGCATGAACTATTTTTTACATCATGAAATCATAGGCAAACATTGCAGTAAAAATCATGTATGATGCTCTTTTTCTAAATAGATTTTTGATACTGTAGCACCTTATAAATGTGTATGAATGAAGCAATAAAAGTTCAGCAAAATAAGAAATGCAACATGACTAATTGGATATCAAATGGCAAATGTAAAGTACCCATGAACAGACATATAAAGACAATCACCATCTTAGAAAATATAGTATATTACTGTATACTTAAAAATTTATTTTACAGCATTACGATGGTACAGTATCATTGTCCAATTCTTCTCAAATTACGGTACTTGTGAAATTTTTAATATGCTACGTGGTGCTACACTCGCTCATATTGATCTCCAAGCTAAGATAGCAGTCAGTAAATTAACTATCTTTAATTTTTAAGTTCTTATGGTCACCTACTACAATTTTACTTAGACTATATCAACTGCCTGTACATAACAGTAATAGGTAGTATCTGACTAATATCGTAAAGAAGACATAGTACTGCAAGCTTATAATATCTTTTAGGAGCTATAGCAATCTTAGTTCCGAATCTGACAGGTCTATCAAATGGTAATACTATCTGTTAAATGAGCACATTATCGTAAACCGTCAGCAAAGCGACGGGAGTTTGCACTAGTATCTTATATTCGTACGGCAAGTGCAGTATTATAATTAAATTAATGCAAAATATGCCTATAAATATCCCAGAGTTTATCACCGGGATTGTCACCTGTACATGTGGGAAAATTCGGTATATCCGAATATGCAATTACTTCTTGTTCCTGTAATATATCAGCTAAGTTTGACAGTCCTGAACCGCAAATAATTCCAATTTTTGGACGATAATGAGATTTTTCCAACAAGAACTTGCAGATTGCTTCTACGTCTTCGTACGAATAATTTTCACTAAAAAATGAAAAAAGGCATAGATTAATGCAAGTTTACTCGTAAAGCAGATACGAGAATACTAGAGTAGATAATACGTGCGTAGGTTTCAACCGTTACCACAATGTTCGTTAACAGCAGCTTAGCAAAGCACATTTATTATTACTGTAATAATGAAAACTTAGATTTTACGTTAACGTAGATAATCGTACAAGATCTACATGCAGCATCATAAAGTTTTGTATGGTATTTTTTTTTTACCTGTTAGCTTTAGTATCCATCGAGAATTGATTACTTAATGTGTTCTATCGTGCGTATGTTGCAATGGAGAAATTTAGTTTATTTTAATTTTTTCTTAATTTCTGATACGAAAGGAATTAAATAGATCTAAATTCTGTACTAAATTTACAGCTCTTTACGCAGCAAGCTGTGACAGCAACCACTGCAAGAAAAATTCGAAAAAGTCTGCCTATTTTAAAAGCATCCTATTTATAACTATATGCAGCTACCACGCAATTATATTAATGACTACGGGATGCCGGTCCGCATGTAGCTGTACGCGCTCATTTCTACTTAAAATAAACATCTTTCGTCAGTTATTTTGAGACAATACTAAATATGAATGAAATAATGATATTAATTACGATAAAGATAGCCAATGTCTCAAGTCTGGATGCCTTAGCTGCGTCTTATCTGATTTTCTGGAACTTACTTGTACTTAACATTTTTCATATTGGGCAACAGTTTGGATAATTGTCATTGATCGTTTATCGAATGTAAAATGTAAGACTCCGAAATACGCACATTGGCTTATTATTCGCTAGACGAAATATCGACAAATAATATCCCCGCGAAGTCAATCACTTTAGCTAAATAATAGACGCCAGGAGGGTGCAGTTATCGTCAAGTATTTCTCACCAGTTATCAAATGCCTATGAGTATTGCGTCATAACGTTGGTCAAAAATTGATCCTGACTTCAGCTTGTCATCGAACAAGAGTAGCACCTTTACTCAAGTGATAACAATTCTAGATCGTGATTTCTTATATTCAAGAATTGTATTAATCATAAGACCTATAGATAGTCTATCGACTCTGTAAATCTATATTTCTCCTATATCTTTTCTCGTCCAGTATGATGACTTTTCTCTAAAATAATAAAATAATCACTACTAGGCTAGCTTTAAGTAAAATCATTTTTGCAACAGATTGGATAAAGTATCTTCTATGCATATTTCCTCTAGTAGTGAAGTAGCAACGAATATGCATAGTTTCCTGTTGTGATACCGTAGACTCAGTTATGGACAATCGATAGATAAATAAATATCTTGTTATTTACTTGGCCAATGTGGGTATAAATGTAGTGCAACGTGAACGATCTTACCAGTCCTATAGCTAATTATACCTAAGACCATTATTATTACTAACTGTAAGTAAATCATTGTTACGATTTTAATGAAATTATTTTACGCAACCTATTTGCATTATATTTTACTTTTCATAAGTTATTTACACAGTGACTGAAAATCGTTGGAATTTACTGTATGAAATTATAATACGTAAATACTTGACTACATCAGTATATTAGCATGGTGCAGTACAAGTCCATGCGGATTTAATATAGATTCCAGTTTCATACGTAGACATGCTGTATGTATAGATGCAGAAACTAAATACTGTACAGACAGCAAATACTCAACAGTTGGCTCAACATTTATTTATTTATCAACGTACGAGTACAGTATTATCATAATTACTAGAATACATGTACGAATATTAACTTTTATTAATGATGTTTGAGAACATTCAAGTTGGTTCTGCAATACTCAACCTGCATTTTAAGCGGATAAACCCTATCAGTCACCCATCATTAGGATGGACATTATGATGAACAGCTGAATTTGGCGATTCCATGAATTAAGGGATGCTTCAAGGGTATTTCACCCCTTTCTCCGACACCTTCGTTATTTTATATATTTTCGGCAAATGACCAACTGGTGGAGGTAATAGCTTTACCGCTTGCAATATACTGAAGTGATCTTGCTTCTAATTTAAACTACTACTGTAAACTACTATAGCTCTGTCACCAAATACGGTCGCTTTAAAGCTAATAATCCTCACTTACCCGCTAATAATAATTTGATTTCAGAGCGATTAATTAATTAAGTAGTCACATGCGTACTGTATGTAATTAAATCCGCCCCTTCTTCTCGGAATAAATTTCGGTATAGTGCTGTACATACAGCTTAGGACTGCAGTCCTAAATATCGTCAGCGACTTCTAATAAGAGAAAATTCTCCTGGAATTTCTGTTAGACCTACAGTAGTTGGTTGAAAGCTGTTTAATAACTCCCATGAATTCAATGTACGCGTATGTAATCCCAGGAACTTCCCTATACAAGGAGATGTGTTAACCAGCATATCCTCTTGTAACACTGTCCGCAAAAAGTATAGAATTGCTAATATTAACTTTATAAGAGGGGAAAAAATAAATAAATAAATAAAATAGAGTAAGGCATGCAGTACTGTATTTTCGGACGTTCCTGTGTACTATACTGTACTGTTACTTGTGTATGGTTCATCTTTAATAGAAATCTTTGTTCATAGCACCCATGTCGAGTAGAGAACTTTAAAATGTCACGGAAACGATACTGTGATCTACTCAGGCTTTAGCCGTTGAGTGATATGAGTTTGCAATGAGCTCGGAAATCTTACTGTATTGAATCAGAATCGCTTCCGTCATATAAGTATGCATAAACTCAGTTGAAACTGGTGAGAATCAAGAAAACGATTGAATTTGAGAACTATCGAATTACACGAATACCCCAGCATGAACGATCACAAGGAAAAGGAGGAATTAGGCTGACGAATGGCGATGAATGATCATGATGTTATCGTTGTCATACTGTAGACTGTATGTAGTCATAAGGTACTACAAAGTATACATAAACTCAGTTGAAACAGGCGAGAATCAAGAAAACGATTGAATTTTGAATTTAAGAACTATCTAATTGCACGAAAACAGCATGAACGATCACAAGGAAAAGGAGGAATTAGGCTTACGAATGGCGATGAATGATCATGATGTTATCGTTGTCATACTGTAGACTGTATGTAGTCATAAAGTAGTACAAAGTATGCATAAATTTAGTTGAAACTGGTGAGAATCAAGAAAATGATTGAATTTTGAATTTGAGAACTATCTAATAGCACGAAAACAGCATGAACGATCACAAGGAAAAGGAGGAATTAGGCTTACGAATGGCGATGAATGATCATGATGTTATCGTTGTCATACTGTAGACTGTATGTAGTCATAAAGTAGTACAAAGTATGCATAAACTCAGTTGAAACTGGTGAGAATCAAGAAAACGATTGAATTTTGAATTTGAGAACTATCTAATAGCACGAAAACAGCATGAACGATCACCAGGAAAAGGAGGAATTAGGCTTACGAATGGCGATGAATGATCATGAAGTTATCGTTGCCATACTGTAGACTGTATGTAGTCATAAGGTAGTACAAAGTATGCATAAACTCAGTTGAAACTGGTGAGAATCAAGAAAACGATTGAATTTTGAATTTGAGAACTATCTAATTGCACGAAAACAGCATGAACGATCACCAGGAAAAGGAGGAATTAAGCTTACGAATGGCGATAAATGATCATGATGTCATCGTTGTCATCGTTGTCATACTGTAGTCATAAGGTGCATTGTTGACTGTAACTACTACTGTAGTAAAAAACAGAAAGAACTTTTTTTGAACCGTCCAGTACCTTACACGTACTACTGAATGGTGCTGATGGTACAATGTGCTGTACAGTATCACAGTCGTTTTCACTGTACTACACTACAGTACTAGTACTGTAGCGTACTGTACTGTACTTTAGGGCAATCAGTACAGTACGCAAGTAAACGCAACGATAACTACAACAACAAGATACATGTCGACATTGCACAGTACAGTATAGCATTTGGTCAGTAGCATGGGCTGGTAAATACCGGTAGAGTACAGTACTGTACCGCAGTCGACCACCTCACTGTAGAACTAGACAGTCGAGCATTTCCCCGTAGGCAGCCATCATGTCATCGGAAAGATTCGAAAATTGTTGCGAGGATTTAGCGTTCCTCTTTAAGGAAGTGGATAAAACCATCAATATTACCATACCGAAAGAATCTGGAGGTACAGTCAACTAGGATCCATACTTTCAATATTGATCTAAAACACGCTATTGTAGCCTACTTTCGTCTAAAGGTAGGATAGAATAGTAATCGATGGCGACAGGAACTTCGACGGGTAGTCAGGCGTAGTAGTAGCCACTCAACTTAATTGAAAAAGACAACCTTATCCCTTTACTTATCAATAATATAATAAATGCCTATGTATTACTTATTTGCAAATGGATCACTGTACAAATTTCTGGTTTGCCTTTCAATCATCCCTTATTGATGCATTTCAGAATAACGATGCTACGGTACTGACAGATCGTTGACCCTACACTGCAGTATATGCGTATAATGGTACAGCCAATCGTGTCTAATCTACTGTATACAAATATAGGCGAAGACTAGTCGTCGGTTGGTCAATTAAATGCTGTTAAAAGACTTTCATCTGGACATGACCACTTAAATCTACTTTTCCAATGATCATTACACTGAATTATATTTAGTTTAATACGATGACTCTCTCTCTAAGTTCTTAAAAGACTCCTTTTACGTTACAAATAGGAGACGAGGTGAACGTGTCAAATACCAGTTACGTACTAAATTAAGAACTACACTTGAGTTTAAAATTGGACCTGTACTCTACAGTACTATAGGATATTAGTCCTGCTTCGAAACTTCCATTAGCAATAGTCTTCTTCATGCCACATGCAATGCTTGATTATTTCTATTTCTACAGTATAAAGTCATGTGCGATAGAAAGTACATTTCAATTATCTAATCTTATAGTCGGAAAAAAGTAGTTGACTTGCGTCTCGTGACTGCAACTACTTGAAAGGAGTGAAGTAAATAGAGTAAATAGGAACTGTTGTATCGATGATCGCACCCATGCCCACCATTGAAGAATGATTACAGTACTACGTTTCGATAATCTTTATTCGCTAGGTATTCATGACATAATGTGATATGATTATCGTAGACTCGTTTGCTTACAAATGATAAAATAGTAACGCTATTAACGAGTCTTTACGTATGTGGATTAATCGAGTATACATGCTCTGTCATTGTGTACTAATGATCACAGGCACTCTCTCAGAAAATTTGTGTCATCACCATTATCACGTATAAGTTTATAAGCAATTCTGCTAGCTCCAGTCTTTCAATATTTTTACTGCATGTAGTAAATGCTCTTTATGTATAATGTTGTGCTTCTATTTATTGTATAGTGTACTTCTTGGTTTTTGCAACGTATACCCAATAAGACTTATAGTACGAGTAGAATACTATTAAGTGTTATTCTGATATTGTTTTAATCCATGGTAAATGCTATTTCCATGATGACTAAATGAAAAACCATTGCTAAACATTTGACATTTACTTCCATTTACAGAACAGAGAAAAAATACTATTAGAAAGACTCAGAAAAAGCTAGATGAAGTCAAATATTTGGTATGTTTACCAACGTGAATTTATTATAACACCAGTATGCAAGAGTAAATTTTCCATATTAATATGTATATCATAGACACAATATCATAGTTACATTTTGAATTACAAGTTTTACAGGCGTTTACTATTTACCGCGGGTCAATAGCATAATTATCATTTGTTGTAACTGGTGTGACACTAATATTTTCTAATTTCCAATACCTATAATGATCATCAATTTAATATGTTTCATAATTTAGTTAAATACTGTACGTAACATTGTAGTCTTGATAAGCTAAATACTAAAATAATACTCGCTTCTGGATCGTATGTAAATGCTCTTAAACTGTTGTAATTAATACAAGCCATATTTATTAGTTAAATGATTTGGATGCTGAGCTACAACAAGCTCCGGCAAGCTATCGCAATCAAATGTCATCCAAAGCAAGATCTCTACGTCGTGAATACGAGCAATACAAATATAAGTTGGTAGGCAAAAATATTAGCTTATCATGTAACTCTCTCTGTTATTGTGCTCTTTATGATTCAGTAGGTATAGCTACCGAAGATTTCGTATTCTATAAGATTCAATTAAGCTCTATCTATAAATCTCAAACCTATCTATTTTAAGCTGTGAATAAAGTTATGAGATTAATCATATTTAACTATATTTTCAACGTTTAGAACGACGTTACGACTAGTAACAGTTCCATGGCTGCCGGACGCGAACAATTATTTGGTAACAGTGGTGACACTGCTATCGAAGTAAGTGTAGGAATATAAATTTAAGAAACAAGATCTTTACATAATTAATTTTGATAAGTAGCTGCTAGAAATTATTCGTATTATTTTACATTGTGCAAGATTGATTACTGCGTGTAGTTTTATTTCTTACCAGCTTATTTCGGCGGATGTATGGTATAAAAATAGGCAATTTTAACGCTCCACAGATAGGTGTATTTGTAATCTTTATCCCATTCTCTTCAAAATTTACAGAGAGCTGAACTTGACTACAGAGCCAAGTTAATTCAAGGAAATGAGACGCTTAATCGAGCTAGTGAAAGCGTTGCTAGATCACAACGTGTTGCCGCGGAAACAGGTTATTGATAAATACAAATTCGTAATATGTATGCCTCAAATCTTTAAATAGGTTCAATAATAGGATTTAAAAATCTTTACCTTAATTTTTTATAATTTATTTTTCACCGATCTTAGCTGCTAACTTTCTAATTTTTCAATTTCTTGTTTAAATCCAAAAATTATGAACCTACTTACTGGTAAAAATAAAGACGAAGTCGGTATAAATATATTAACAGACCTGGGAGACCAGCGGGAATCACTTGTTCGAACTAGAGATACCGTAAGTATTGCAGCTGTATTTTAATAACCGTGACTTCAGCTTTGAAAATGGCTTTCATGATTTAGACATTTACACTAAGAACTTTCATAATTTTATATCAGTTGACCGGCACAAATCAGGAACTCGGCAAAAGTCGAAGACTAATATCAACCATTGGTAGAAGGTAAGCGCATTTTACCATTAGATTTTAATAGTAATATCATTCTTTTATTCTTAAAATAGATTTTTACAATACACTACAGGGTCGTTACAAACAAATTGTTGCTGGGATTCATTATCATATTGGAAGTGGGTATCCTAGGACTTGTCATTTATCTAAAATTTTTCAAACCCAAAAAATAATTCTTGATTCGAGAAATTATGGAGCTCCTTCACGTCCCATACATGAAATTTTCATCTTTCTACACTTGCAAAATATGAACTTGTGATCAGAGAATAGATAATGAAGTGTTTGTTTCATCAATCGATGTTTTATAAATCTTACTTAACATAATAGCGCCTACGATAAACTTTTATGATATTGTTAATGTACTAAAATTATAATTCCCGGTACGAGCATGAATTTAGAGCTGAAAGATGTTATGCTCATACAACAAATATTTCTGCAAGTACCATAGCTATAAAATAATCTGTTTCTAGTATTAATGTATATATTCGTAAGTCATATCATAACAAGCGATTGCTTAAAAATCATTCGTTAGTTATATGATAAATGTTATCGTCGTGAATTTAGATTTATATAAATAGCTTATTAATAATATCCATTATTTACTATCTGATTTATCACGTTTACGCAAATAAGTGATTACTAAATAACTAGCATTGCCCTATACGAACCCTGCAATGCTTCTTAACATATCAATAGTTCGCTCTAATATAATGTAAAAGATGGTGTATTATACGTATACTATACGTTTCTAATGACTTGTGTGATAGTTGTGATGCAGTATTATAGCCGATAAAAATAGTTGCAGTTATTAGTTAATTCAGAATGATGTAGCAAATAATTCGTTATTTACTACGAAAATAGTAAATCTTTTTAAACTTGAAGATAATGCTTTTGTTTACTTTTATGAGATTTTTTATTTAATTGCAAAAAAAGATATGCGAGATTGCCAAAGTATAGCTATAATTTAGAAGTCTACTTTTAAATGCTAGGTTACTAAGTATAAATTTATATACTTTATGAATGTTGCATGTACAGAAAGACTACTACGAAGAAAGAATAATTAGTGCTTCTACACTATATTCTATTTAATCGAAGACAATAATATCCTTTTAGTCTATGACTACGAGAACCTGCCAATTAATGCTTAAATTACTCGTATATTAGAAATGGACTATGAAGTATTATAGATGATGCACCTAAACATGCACAAATTGCCAGATATGCTAAATTGAATTATGCGTATCGCCTTTGCAACGTCGTTGCTTATGCATGTTTGCAGATGATTACGAGTACAATGGTGATTACAGTTTTAAGCGATCGCAAAACCGTCTTTCTACATATTGACTATATAAGCAATCTAGGTTTATACTATATCCATCTCTGAATTAAACAATGATTGTTTCATAAACCGCTAGTACTCGTATGTTTCCTTAATTAGTGATATGATGTACACTTTTAAAGTGCATCACCCACTTTTATTAACCAATGTCATCAATGTCAAACACCTGCGATTCGATTAGAACGCCGATACTTATACATCACATGGATCTCATTCATTTGCCAACCAATTAAAAGAAATCATTTTAGCAATACGTATATTCATAACGTATAGCAAAACAGTATATTAATATGCGTAAATCGTATATAAGCGTTTGCTTCAGTAACTACGTTACAAGTAATAATTTTTATTATGATCAGAACTTCGAGCAACTAAACAGATAATGGTCAAGATTTATATTCATCGAAGAAATATAGAACAAAATTTTAGCATCATAGCAATAATTTTTATGAATTCCCGTCTTGGGTGAATCCTAAAGGAATATTACTAGCATAGGTAAAAATTTTTATGTATTGGACTTACTGCGCCAGAATTATCATTCCTGCAGTTCGTGACTTAGGATCTTAATTAGCGCAGTCATACAGGTACATGTACTTAAATAATAATCAATCGTTAATATAATAATCATTTATACAATAAAAATTTTAAATACTAATTATTAGGCTTAAATTTGGCATTGCAATATTTCATCATATTTCGCTATACATGCATTTCTCATTATTTCTTTTATAGTAAGTTTATAATTAATCTGAATTAGATCATAATTTTGCAAAATACCAATATATACTATTCAATAATAGTATGATACTATATAATTAACGGACAAACTGTAGTATATATTATACAATACATACTGTTGTACCACTACTGTAGCAATGTTACTGCATATAACCATGCAACAAACATCAATCTAGGCCGATAATGTGATCCTATATCAAATGATACAGAATGGGCTATTGGTACTAGTTAATACGGCCGTAAGCAAGAAAAATAGAGCAGTCGTATTAATGCGCTCATAAAGTAATCCATTAATATGTTTCCGAATCATTTGCATAATTGATTTACCTTTTGACTAACATGCATATTATAGTCTCTCACTTAGCCAATCGTCTAGCAATTAGCGTTTGTCTGACATTTTCCTTCTAAGTGTTATGTAATTAATATGCAATCATTGCAATCATACCATAATGGAAACATGGTGTACGTTATACAAACGCAGATCTGATTGACATCCCATAAAGGTAGCTAAGAATACAGAAACTGCTGTGTTTAATGTTATAAAATATTTCTTACTATCTTTAGATTTTCCTCCGGAATGTACTACTATAATTGCAGTATACTGTATCAATGTTTATTTAATTAAAGCATAGAAGGCATGATGATGATGACTTAAAACGTTGCATTGTTCATGAATCTGATCATTCCATTAGTGACAGATACGAGTATGTAGATTACGGTACTTTTTGCTTGTTATTTTATCTTATTGCTACACTAGTCCAATCATTTCCTATATCTTTACATTTTTATATTTAATACTATCTTCTAATCTTGGAGCACCTAAATATTATTTAGGGAATCCATAAGAGAATATCGAAAGTAAGTGCGCAGTATACTGTGCTTTAGGTCCCGACTATTAAGTTAGAGTGAATAACTGTGGAATACCGGAATGTGGCAGCCTTATGATATAGTACGCGATACTAACAGGGAATTATTTTATCGCTTATTTGGACATATACAGTGCACCTTCGATCGATTAAAAGATTAAATACCGGTATACTGTATAATGTTGAATATATTAACCGTAAAGCCGGTAAATCTATATAACACTGACTGAAATTTAGAAGATTAACTGCTCACAAAATAACAATCATCAAAAAGAAATGATCGCAGTGATAGCTATTTTGTTACGTTGCCTTTCGTGTCACCATGCACACTATGGCGATATATACTATACATACTAGGTGTTTAGTAATACTGTATGCCAATTATCAAAATACATACGCCTACTTATCTATTCTAATTTGCTAAAGGGCGGTTTAAATGTCATGAGAAGAATACATACACAAACAATTTAATCAAGCCTAATTTCAATACGACTGTCGCCAGCAATGTACACAATATTTGACAAAGTAAATAGATTATTTTGTAGGAGCTAATTACATCTATATTGATGTAACTACATTATTGTTTTATTTCCCGTAATTAATACGCAGTAAATCACGGAAATAGGAAGCTAGTAAATTGAATCCTAATCCGCCTACAAGCTATTCCTGTGATGCCGCAACTTTACAACACGGTTACCTTAAATGTAATGATTTATCATCACGTTTTGTGTTGTTGTTGAATTACCGAAAGCTATCAAAACTGTTTAAAGATTTTCTCATGTACGACCTGAAGAGGAAAGCATTAATATGCGGCAATTTCGTTCCTATAACGGTTGTGCTGGTGTCATTCTAGTAAACCTTAGCAACACGGTAGTACTGCAATAGAGTAGACTTGTAGAGATAGAACTGAAAGGGGAATATTTTCCTTCCAAATTGACTTTATCGATACTGCTTCTGAGTATGAATTTACTAGCGTTCAACTGAATAGAGTTACACTACATACAACATATATTCTTTCGCTAAATAAGCGCAATTGTACAATGAACCTTCGATCATTATAATATGTAAACAGTATACATAGAGCCAGTAGTCTAGTACTTTAATTGTTACATGAGGATATGATATAGTTTGATCGAAATTTTATCCATCAAGCTTGATGGGTAGGCAACTTTTACATCATGAGTGCTATTGCCAGGATTATCTAATTATTCTAAAATCTTTCTGTGACTCTTAATAACGCTACAGCACGCATCCATCTATAATACGAGTAAGGTGACAAGTGTCTACTAGCATTAAGCAATTGCAGATAGGATGCTTTTCTGGCTGTTCATTTAAAAGGGAAGTTACTAGCCATAAAAACATTCAAATACAATTAGCGTATACCATGGGTAGAATATAAACGCAAAATTTTGTCCAACTGTTCTTGCATCACATTTTATGCCCATCATTCCGTTCAAAGTATGGAGAAGAGACTTTGAAAATTAAACCGTAATCATCTAAATATTATTTACTCCATTTCAATCGGATATTAGTTTACTTGCGCTAACCCCTATGTTTGATCATGATCTAGTACGATTGATGACCCATATGACCTGCAGACGCATTCAATGACAGCCTAAAATGTTCAATATTAAGCTAAATAGCTGTGAAAATAGATACATTATCCGTAAAATATATGCTAGATTGAGACTTTCGAATTTCTTTATTTCTTGAATAATCCGGTCAATTCGTATCCGCAATAACAAATTTTATAGTACGAGTGGTATACCCGCATACACATACTCTTAGATGCGTTAGTCATTTCGAAATCAAAGGGTAACACATTGAGCTTGATTCTACTATTTCATTGGCATTAATATGGGCCATAAGAAAATATTTATTCCAGACCATGCGGCATTTACAGTAACACGAATTATCATGTTAACATAAAGTATAAAATACACTAGTTCATATTTCCACATTGTACTTATACAACTCGCATAGGCTTGGCTCAGCGGGAACTAAGGAAAGAGTGCGCCCTACTTCTAATTTGTGATGTTGTTCAAGATTACCTATGCATACAAACTTCAGTGCACTACTCATCGGAGATTTCAGCAATCGTTGAAGTTGATCCCTATTACTATTCTAATGTGATATCCTATTGAGCTCATTTTATTCTTACTGCAAACTACAGCTTAAAGATGACTGCC